CCCGTGAACCCCACAACCCATAGGGGTTAAGAAGACCTTTAGTTTCAAACTCTTCAGTGTGCCTATGTCCTCCACATCTGTTTTGGAGAAGTTCCTAAAGAAGTTCCCCACCGTCGACATCACCACCTGACCTGTTCCACAATCGGTGATTGCACAGGGTTTGCTACCGTACATCTTGATAAAGTATTCTGGATCCCAAGGCAAGGTAAATTTCTCTTTTAATCCTTTGACCACGAGGGGAATTCCTCCTTTTTTCCACAGAGCTTGGAACTGTATCATCGATATAGATTCCTCAAAATCGGTAGGAGTGCCGAGATAAATAGGCCCCCTCTCGCCTGGATGGACTGGCGTGTTAATAGGAATATCCGGTACTGGATTGTCGTCATTAGACTTGAGGGCGGTCTTATTCCGGTACGTTCTAATGCTAGAGATAAAGAACTTGATTTCCCCGGGATATGCCCGCGTAGCGAAATAGAAGGAGTTCTTGTTGTGAAGTCTTTGGTCCGTACATTTATCCGGCATTGTCGGATCACCGTGCGGGGCCACTGGCGTCCATTCAGTCCAACAATCTAAACAAATTTCCCTGCCACAACAACCCGAAAGGTATGTTCCGAACAGGGTCGTTGTCGAGCAAATATCACAAATAGTTCTGAGTGTTATTTTCTTCAGACGGACCAACGGCCTACGACCACCATCAATGTTGGTCTTCTTCAAAATCCCACCATGAAACTCCTCGTGGTAAAGTTCGGAATTAAGCTTCACTAACAAATTCACTCCAATCAACGGCAGAATTGTTTCGGCATTCGCGGAGTTGCCAACCGTTTCGCTCTGTTGACCCTCTACTCGGGCCAACTCCTCCAAGGACATTTGATCGTCGGCAACACAGAACTCTTGGCTGGTGGGATCCGACTCAGCACCCTCATAATAGTTGTACTTGAATTTACGGATCCCACTAAAGCGACAGCCACCAGTTTTACTGCTTTTAGTGATGCAAGCCTCACAATGTTCCGGCAATTTTTTGTTGCGTTGACATGGCCCTGTTTGAACATACTTAAATTCTGGTGAAGGTTCAAGCGCCACATAACCACATGGGCGGTCGTCCTTTAAGGGGAAAGCCCTCCCCCGTCTTTTGGGGGGGATCGATGCTGAAGGCCTCCCACTACCCTTGGCCCTGGAGCAACTGTCAGCATGAACAAATGAAAATATACTATCCCATGCAGAATATAGTTACAACATACACAGAATTCCTCGTACGTCTCGAGGTAGGCTTCTCCTTCGGGTCTTGCATGGATTCCAACTCTTCTTTATCAGAGCAATCTCTGCCACGGGAGTCAGCGCCAACAGCTTTCCGAGATAGGAAAAGCGACAGTAGATATGGCGTATCCAACTTACGCAAGAACCTTCTTCCTGCCGGTGACAGCCTTATTAACAAGAGAATTAGAGGTGCCTAAAGCAACACAACCGCTGCCAATACTCATTTGATCAGAGTCAGAGTGACTGTCATCGACGTTGTAACTATCACGGAAAATTAGCCTCAATTGGCCCGAGCGCACCAATAGATTCCTAAAGATTTGCGAACATACTCGTCCAAAGGTAAGCTTGTGCTCCGGCGTTGACGGCCCCTACCCACTATGACTTGATCACTCGAGGGAGTTTCCCTACCGTAAATATTAGTATCAACATAAGAGTAAAAAAAATAGCAAACACTATATTTAAGATACCGAAGAGCCATTTTAGCGACTAAGTTTGAGGATCCTGGGCGAGCAAATCCACCGTTACTGACCGCCTCGTCGTTCTCCCTATCGAGTCCCGGACTATCCAAATTGTTAGCCCTTATGAATTCGCCGCACAGAGCAGAAAGCCTCAGCCAGCATCAACGCACCTAGAAGGAGTGCTGGTCCTCTTCTCGTTGATTTCTGTTCGCGACGCGACCTGATCGCGTGGGGATGTGTTCCTGTTACGATTGTCAATACCAACAGTGAAAGAGGGCAGAGTTAGGATAGCAATAAGGGATGCTATCAACTTACTCCGGAGGTCCTGACGAACTTGCGGGCGCGATCGGAGCCGCACCTGCTCTCGCCTTTTTCCGTCTGGCCATCGTGAACGGCAGGATGTGAGGACGCCTGACAAGGTTGTTTAGAAGAATAAAACAGGATCCAAGTGTAGGTGCACTCTTGGCACTTTTTGCGCTTCGAATTGATGTTGGATGTAGTGGCGGCGGTTGGCGGTGACGAGAGGCAGTGGTGGTAGTGGTAGGAGACTAAAAGGAAAGAATGAGACAGCTGGGAAAGGGAGACGTGACGTTGGATTAGAAGAAACGGTCACGTGATGTGAATCCGTGCAACGCGACTCCCACCCTGGAACTAGTTGCTGTAGTGCCGTAGTATCGATGCCTGTCTATTCGAGTACTAAAGTTGCCGGTATGATACTGCAGGTCAGGCTCTGGGACGCTACCGAACACCTGTAATCTACTATAGAGGATCTAATCGCCTTTCAACTCCATCAATCAAACGTAGAAAACCCAGCCAGGTATCGTAGAGCGCCACATGCCACCCATGGCAGGGAAAATTGGACGATAGTCTAAACTTACTATCATAATTATTGGAATAATAATTATCATGAAAATAATCATACTGTAACACCCCAGAAAACCCTAACTTACATAAAACCACAACTTAAACCAAAGCCCCCGAACGAAACCCACAGTAAATCCACCACAAGTAGAGGCATTACAATATCATATCTACATACACTATTTACTCCAAGCAAGCGGGTACGATAATATTATCATTAGTGTTCCTTACGAGCCGAGAAGCTCGAAGGCTGGAGCTCCGCGAGCCGATATACACCCCGAGCCATACTCAAGCTAAGCCTGAGGTTACTCAAACAATCTATCTTTCATTTCAAATGGGTGGGGGAAAGAGGGAAAGAGAGTAGTATATCTAAGATTACCTTATATATGTTGTGGTGGTACTAGGAGACAAGGGAGAAAAAAATAACTTTGAATTTTCAAATGCCCCGGAAGCCCCTTGCATACACCATTATTGGCATAAATTGGGGCAGGGAGCCCAGTACAGATCCCACTTTACTCCTAATTTTGGCTGGTTTCATGAGAGGTTGGGCATCAGGGAGCATGTTAGATGGCAAAGAGGAATCCTAAGTAGAGGAAGTCAATTAGGGCCTGTTTGGTGGGAGCGGAAGGCAGGTCGACCGTTCCGTTCAGTGATGATTTTACCCGGAGAGATGGTTGTCTTGGCGTCTTCAGAGCGGAAGGTAACGGTCGTTTGTATGGGGGAACAGAACGGAACGGTCGTATCCAAACAGGCCCTTAGATTTTCTATAAACGTGCAGTCCTCGATTGATTGATTTACACAAACTAGGAGGCTAGCTAAGCGGAAAACCAATATTTCTACAGCAGAATTTGGAGACCTGCTTCGCACACTTAATATTTGAATCATAAGTTATCCTCTACTCAGACCCACTATACGGATCTTGCAGGTTGGTTTAGCGAGTGATACTGAGTGACCACTAACAAAACCAGGACCGAACCTTAATTCCCGAGCCTACTTTTGAAGGCTTGAGCCCCGCATTAAATCCTAAGTGGCTCGAGCCAGTGGCCGGGCTCGTGAGGAACACTTTCATTCTACCGGAATGATAGCCATCCCCCTAGGGGCGAACCCACTGCAGATGCAATGATCCTAGGTTTGCATATTCTCACAACACCAGAAACTTAATAGTAGAAAAGACAAATTTTGCACCTTTGCGAAGCATCACCAGATCCGATCGACAATCAAGATTGACAGCTGTTCCTAAGGCACCCTAGACACCAATAGTACTGCAACAGTAACCACGGAAAACTGCTGTGAATAGAAGAAAGGTAAGAGGGAGTGGATGGAGGTCTATCACTGTATAAGAGCCAGACTCCGTAGAGTTTCCTCCCATCGCTCTAAATACAAAGGAGGCGAAATTTTGGACGGCTATTTGAAACCACACTTCAGCGACTTTTTCGCAACCCGCCTACCGTAGATTAACCAAAGAGTAGTCTATTCCCCACTGTTAGACTCCGGCCTTCAATAATAGGCGCAATTCGTCCAGCTCTCAGATTTCACCTCACCAGATTCACCAGCGCATTATCCGCCATCTTAATAGCGCCGGCATCCTATATAATGCATCGGATGATGCGAGCTAGATTTTAAGTTAAGTCACTATTTCCCATCATCCCGCAGCCCAGACATCAGCATGTCTGATCGCTATCAAGATATATTATTCTGCTACCCGCATCTAAGGCAGCTCTCGTAGAGATATTTGCTATAGCAAACCTCGGCAGTACATACCGGTATTTCTGCTCCCCCGGCATAAACAAGTCGCAACAAGGCCAAAGTCTCAGCTTATACCTCCGCAGCAGCAAACCTCTCCCTCCCTTGGGATACATGCACAAACTACCCACCGTAGCAGACTCTACAAATCCAGCAAGAATCCCAATAGGATCCACCACCATTAAAGACTCATTCACTGTGGCTGAATATCACCAGCCATAGCCGGCCCCGCATCTGGAGCCTTTGTCCCCACACGGGCAAAAGGAACCTGCAAGTTGACTCAAAAGAAGCCCGAAAGTCATGCATGATGCATCCAACCCGCCCTCAAACATGTAGGCATTGCAGCCGGCGGGATGGGACCGAATCCGCAACCCATGGGTTAGACATGCTGCAGTGCTGATTAAAACGTGCTGCTTCGGAAAGGGCTGTCGTGTGGGGCCACTCAGGATTGCAGATTGAAGGAGCAGTGGTGCCGACCACACATGGATCAACTCGTAACCGCTGCAAGAAAAACCCGTAACCAAAACTGATGTCTCTTTTTTTCAGAGTGTGTGTGGATGATACCAAAGAGTGGGGAAGTCCTCACCGGGCTGGGTTATCCGCTGGGGCTTTGTTTCGAGGATAAATTATAGAGCCTCACCGTCTCGAGCCTGAAATCTCACAAGATTTCTTTTCCAGGCACGCTTGGCTCCAAGACATCTCTCAATACTTCCTTTGGGCCGAGCTGCCTGCATGTAGTATCACTCGATTTTTGCTTGCGGGGCAGAATGCTCCAGGTCTGTGAAAACGTGGCAAGGTCTATGTTTTTTCCAAAACAGGACCGTTCTCAACGGAAGGAAGTCCTCGCAATTGCAGAGGAAGATTCAACTTTCAAGTATTATTGAGGGGCTACAACACGCTACTAGGCAGCACTAACTTAACCAGAACAATAGAGGGAGATTTCACAACCCGCCAACGTGGGAGATGGAAGTTAGCTTGAACAGGATATAAATCAGGAAAGGAAAGCTGCGATAACACGTATGCTCAGTGAGCTTGTTCTCGAGGAAAATATTCAACCCCATACCTATCGTAGTCCATAGTTCAATCCAATCAACACACCGCCGATTGTTTGCGCGAGAGCTCAAGACAATAGTATTATATACCTCATGAGTACAATTGCATTATATAGTGCACCATCTATCGTATGATACAGCACAAAATCACGAATGACACCCACGACCCGTGGCTGCTTTTTCTAAAACAGCGTATCTTCCTATAAACAGTTAGCCATCCGTCCAGAAATCCCCAGCAGCAATTGAGCAGAACATACATCCCTAAGATACTCCCCAACATCACTCTGTCTGAACGCTGTGATACTAGTAGGATCCAGCCTGCGAACCTCATGCGTCGACCTCGCCGTAACTCCAAATCCCTACAATGGCCACCGCTCCGATTAGTCCCCACCATCCTCACTCGGACAAAGAGCACCATACCAAAGGCGTATCATTCATAGAATAAACCACAACCCCCTGATGCTCGGGTGTATCCTCACTGATCCTCCCAACATGCGCCTTGAGCACATTATTCCCATACAAAAACGGCATCTCCCCATTCGGCTTCACCCACACTTTGTACTTTGCGTGCGAGGCGATGTGATCCAGCGCCGTGACACGCAGCTTGAACTTGCCCGTCTTTGTAAACTTGCCCAAGCAAGTGCCGAGCGAGAGCAGGTTCGCCTTGGCGACGGAGGTTGCGAGGCGGGCAATTGATTCGCGGACGTAGTAGACTCGGTCTTTTTGGACACGGAAACAGTGAGGGTCAGTGGGACGGTCGATTAGGTGAGTTATGTTTCGGCCAATGTAGTTTGCGAGCTTTTCGAAGAGGCGCTCGGTCTCGACGTCTGTTAAGGGGCGCATTGTCGGACTATCGCTTGGTTGGGAGTATGGTGCTGGGTCAATTAGCTTGCGGCTTTGTGAAAAAATTAAAGTTGGTCAATGGTGAGGCTCTTAGCTGGGGTGCTTGGGCAGGGTAACCCCGCACTGGCTACAAAACTCTGGAAAAGAAGAAAATAATTCGAACTTTCGTGTGAAAGTTTGGTGTCTGATTTACCTTGCGCATTATTTACCAGTACTTGCCAGTAGCAACGACCACCGGATCCAACATGGGAGCTAGCAAACGGAAGCAGGGAAAGACTCAATCGGTGACCACTCACAAGAAGCCGAAACTTAGCGAGCCCAAAATCAAGAACAAAAAGAGCAAAAACCCCGTTCCTCCGCCACGAGTTGTCAAGAGTGAGTCGGAGGAGTCGGAGGAGGGGGATGAGGAGGATTCTGACAACTCTAATGAAGAGAGCGATGAGGAGGAAGAGTTTCGTGGAATTGAGGATGGAGATGAGGACGAGGAAGTGAACATCAGCGATAGGGAGAAATCGAAGGGTTCAGCGGGTGGAGCAAGCGGATGTGAGTCCAAATACGTCCGGCTACTCCAAAAGGAGAACTAACAAATTACCAGCTTTAAAGTCGAAAGAATCGCACGCAGAACAAAAGCGCCTCGCCGCCGAACGCAAACTCGCAAAGCCCCATGGAGAAATCATCACCCGCAGCAAGCGCATCTGGGAGCGATTGCGCCGTACAAAGCTCGCGCCAGAGGAGCGTAAAAAGCTTATCGCTGAATTGGGCCAGTTGATCAAGGGCCGCGTGAGCGACCTCGTTTTCAAACATGATGCATCGAGGATCGTGCAGTCTGCGTTGAAGTATGGGGATAAAACGACCAGGGCGAACATCACCGCTGAACTGAAGGGCAATTATGTTGCTTTGGCGCAGAGTAAGTTTTCTTCCACTTCTGCTCCCTCTATGGTTCATTTCGTCCTTCATCCTTTCCCAGGCCCCTTAACGGCGTCAATTTTAGCGGTGCTGATGCGTTGGCGTGATTAAAGGCAGTTATGGAAAGTATCTTGTCGTCAAGATATTGCACTACGGCACCCCCGAAAACAGGAAAATAGTGGTCCAAGAGTTCTATGGACACGTCCGGAAACTCATCAAGCACCGTGAAGCAGCATTAGTGATTGAAGATGCATTCCGAGAGTATGCAACACCCGAGCAGAGATCAGCGCTATTGCAGGAATTTTATGGCGTGGAGTTTGCTATTTTCAAGGTGCGACGTTCGCGCGAGTGTCAGTTGTTATTGTTAATTTGTTGATCATACAGGATACGAGTGACAAACCCTCCTTGAAGGAGCTCTTGCAAAAGTCACCGGAAAAGCGGGCTGTTATAATGAAGAGTCTTTTCGACCAGATCGACGGTGTCACTAAGAAGGGCGCTACTATCTTCACTATCCTGCATAAGGCCATGCTGGAATACATCTTGAACACCCGGCCAGGAACAACAGAAACAACAGAGTTCATAGAGCTTGTCAAAGAGCATGTTGCAGATATCGCCTTTACCAAAGACGGATCCCAAGTGGTCGTTAGGTGCATGGCCCTAGGAACTGCAAAAGTGAGTAATATATAGCCCTGCCTAAATAACAAAAGTGAATACATCACACACACACACACACACATAAGATCATCCCTACAATATAATGTATAATGTGTGCTAATGATAATAACAACCAGGATCGGAAGGTAATGATCAAAGCCCTAAAATCAGAGGCAATCTCACTGGCAAGGCACGAGTACGGCTATCTCGTGCTCCTGTCAATCTTCGAGACAGTTGATGACACAGTCCTGGTAGCAAAAAGTCTACTCCCAGAGTTCCAGAAACATCTACAAGAACTTGCATGTGACAAGTATGGCCGCACGCCACTTTTGTACCCATTTTCAGAGCGTCACCCGAGAGTGGTGCCTCGGTCAGCAATTGCAGCTTTAGAAGAGGTAGAAAAACTCCGCAAGTCCACTAGGTACGACCTCCCTAGGCCTCCTTTCTTTTCACCCTCTGCCCCACTACCAGTATGGTATGCCGATGTTGAGGGAGCACAATAATAAGACCTCGTAACTGTGTCCCCCGGACGAAAGGAGAAACTTGGGGGAAGAAACAAAATCAAAGCTGACAATACGCCTCCCAAAAATTCAGCAAGAAGGATCCAGCGACCCGCCTGAGTGAACTTCGAGCTCACTTCTCCCAGCCGTTCCTGCAATGTATCGCCAAGAATGCAGGAGACCTAATCCGGGACTCTTTTGGATGCCAATTCATCACGGAGGTTTTACTCGGTAGCACAGGTACGATCTCCCATCTATCCACTCCATCTACCCAATGGGTATGAATCCCCGAGCCCACAAGGCCAGACAAGCTTTTTCCCGGGAAAAATAAGTGACCAATAACCGGCTAACTAGACCGAAAAAAAATTAAAATTCAGGCGATAAATCCCCCGCTCTACATGCCCTCGCCAGCACCGCTGCCGGGGACCCAAAAACTGCAGACGGCAGCGACGGCCCACACGTCGTAAATACAGCTGCCGTCGGGCGGATGTACAAGACACTAGTCACGGGTGGACACTACTCATCCAAGGAGAATAAGGCGATAGGTAGGCAAACTCAATCCCCGGAGGGTGAGAAAGAATGGGCAGAAGGAAGAAGAAATCGGCTAAATACAAGACCTCCATAAACAGCAATCACCCCCCCGCTAGGTTTCCACTCCCTCCTGTGGGAGCAGATCCGCCCGCACGCCAATGCTTGGGCAACAGGTACGGGGTCGTTTGTTGTAGTAGCTTTACTGGAAGCTGAGGGATTCCCGGCGAGGCAGGAGCTAGTCAGCGTCCTCAACAGGAAGAAACTGCGCAAGGCGGCAGAGGACGTAGGTAATAAAGGTTCTAGTGTCATTATGGGCATATTAGAGAAGGGGGGTGAAGTAAGTTGATGTGCTGTACCATAGCCAGCTTGGTCGCCGATCGTATTTACTAGTACAGAATGAAATAAAAAATAAAGTAAAAAACTTCCGCTCGTAGAGAACTCCACAAGGCTATGATCCGTCCGACTCCCCCGGTCCGGGTTCCACACGGGAATTTTCCACACTACAACAGATACGGTAAATCTATACCGTAGCATATAGTACAGAAGTCACCCCCACCACCAATACAGCACTCCGAAATACCTTTGACGCCTATCAGCACCTCCCCTCCACCACCCAGTACCGCAATGCACCACCCAAAGCCTACAGTAGTCCGCTACGCACATATCATACCTGGGGCCAGTACTGTACTCGAGTATTGTACCTCCACGGCCCGTACCACCCAAAAGTCTAGTCCAGCCTAAACCGAACAAAAAAAAGAAAAAGAGGAACACCCTGCACTCCACTACACTGCACTTCACTCCACAGCACCGCGCTGCGCAGTGCACTCCCCCCCACCCTTCCCTTCCTTCCATCCGTCCATCCATCCATCCACCCCTCTCACCTCACACTCACACCCACACACATACACACACACTCTTTCTCTCCCGCACAGGCACGATACCGGTAATAACTATATCCAAGCCTTGTCGGAACCCCCCGACGTAAACCAACCAGCTTACCCCAATCCGTACTTTTTACTTTTTACTGCAGGGTACCGTAAGCACTTTATATTATTCCTCCACGAATATTACAGGCGCGCGCGGAAAAAAAAACAATCTAGCGTTCTAGGTAAGTAAGTAAGTATTTTGGTCAAGTTCGTGCAATGGCGACGGGAAGGTATGATACTGTACTCGTACCTGTAATTGTACCTGCACTTTACTTACCTACTTACTTACCTACATACTTGCCCCCTCGGGAGCGCACTACATGATGGATACGGTACGGTACAGTGCAGTGCAGCACAGTACCGGTACAGTACACAACGAAAGAGAGAATGAAAGAAGAAAAAAAGGTTGAGACGTGAGTGTGTGTGAGTGGACGGACGGATGGATGGATGGATGGATGGATGGGAATTTTTGTAATCGCACAGCACAAACCACAATGCTTTTTACTCATTCATATCGCACCGTACCGTATCCCCAAATCGCTCCCAGCTTGCGCTTATTATTACAATAGCGTCGTCGGGTGTGGGCTGATGATTGGCCCACGGTGATAAGGATAACAAGAACCCATCGGTACCTACTGTACAGTACTGTACGAGTACAGGTACTGTACCTACCCATCCTCTTACTTTTTACACACCCACCTAACGAACCAAGACATAACATGACAGCCGCAATGCAACTTAAGCTAGCATACGGAACCCTAGTCCCTGACCATCTTTTTTCCTCTTCCCCCTTCCTGTCATAGCGGTATGTACTGTACTGTACCTGTACCTGTTCCTGTTCCTGTTCCTCCCTCTCTCTCACCGGCTAGTCTAGCTTCCACCAGCCACCATCGAGCTAGCCAGTGATATTTGACCAGAGCGAATGCCACCTGCAGTATCGTTCCCTCTCATCACTTCACTTCACTTCGCTTCGCTTTGCTTCTCGGCAGGTAAGGTAGGTAGGGCGACCAAGACAGCACAGCACAGCACAGCACACACGCGCTCCAGGTGAGGAGAGAAAAGTGTACTGCACTGTACCGCAGTGCAGAGTCACGATCTAGTCCGTAATGGAATAGAGTGGACTGGACTGGACTGGACTAGACTAGACTATACTGGACTAGTTGCGGTTGAGCTAGAGTAACAGTTGGAAAAGTATGGTACAGTATAGACTAGACTATACCATACTGGTACTCTACCCGTGTCAGGACCGGTACTCGAGTACCGGGCGAGAAGTATACCGGTAGATCGTCATATCATACCACGACCAAGGATACCAACCAACGATACAAAAAGTAAATAAATAACAAATAAAAACACCCGGAGTTACGGCACCATGGCATAAACGGACGAGCAGAGCAGAGTAAATAGAGTAGAGTAAAAAATAAAATAAAAGTTCAAGGAACGATAACCCGTTAGCATGACATCACGAGCAGCGTGTGATATGATATGATATGGTATGATATGATACGAGTATGATAGTATCATACAAGTAACTTGTGAAAAGTCCAGCAAAGCACCTTTTCCCACAATTCCGGTTCCAGGTCTAAAAAGTTGGTTAGTTAGCTAGGTGTCCATCCACCTCAGCCCCTCTCTCTCTCCACTACCAGCCATACTTACTCGTATTGGACTAGACTGGACTGGAGTGGACTGGGCAAGACTGGACAACACTGGAACTACTGTTAAGTGGTACGGTACATCCCATTCATCTCAGCCAAGCGAAAGAAAAAAAAATGGTACATTACTAAAAATGTATAATGAAAAAAAAGGAATCACGCCTCTACACGTTCCCGCCCTAGAGTAAGTAATTCGTGGAGTCGAGTACAGGTACAAGTGTTTACTCACGCTTACTTACTTACTTCATGGTAGGGTACTCTGTATGTGCTCGAGTATCGGTACAAGTATGATGATACTCAGCAATCGCTAACGATCCACTCACTAACTCGTCAGGGGAACGAGAAGGAAAAAAAAGTGCAGAAATCCACCAATCATGTCCAAACCCGTCCATCCATTCGACCTCCACAAGGGCAAGCGACGAGTACGGTACTCGAGTACAGTAAGGTACCCACGGCCCGGGAAAGGAACGAATAAAAATGACAAGACGTATGATGGCCCTTCGATAACACGATTTGATAAGAATACGGTATAGTACAGTACTGCACTAGTGATGAATAAGAACCACACAGTGGAAAGAAGAAAAGAAAAGAAAAGAAAAACAGCTCTCCACTCGCCGTTCACACGCTGTACTCGAGTACTGTACGGTACTGTACTGTGCACCCCAACGCACTTAACTCACGCTACTCGCTGTAGAGTACGGTACGGTACTGTAAGAGCACTCGAGAGCAGTACAGTACTCTCCAGCTCCGTGTGGTACGGTTGTCCATGTAGGTGCTACGGTACAGGTGCTCGAGCATGCTACGCCATTTCTGCCCCACTTTTTATTTAGGAAGTTCCCGTTTGCACTTGCGAATAACAGCGACAAGAGTGATGATTCTGTGGAGTGCTGATATACAGTCGCACCTCGCTATCCCGGATGGCCAAAATCCAAGAATTTTGTCCGGATCAGCGGGAAATCCGGGATAGTGAAGAGATACTGAAGAGATTTATTTGATAATTTCCTATCATAAAAGTTGTACAAAGTGTAGCTATCTTAACAATTGTTCATAGGCAGTATTGATACTCCCAGTTACCCATTTGGTTGGGACACAGGTAGTATTACCATCTTCTCCCTCTCCGCCATCGTCTTCCTCACTACTAATCCAATTATACCTGCGCTCCATCTCAAGATCAACAAAAGCCCTTCCTTCTTGTACCCTCTGCTCATCTATTCTCGGCTCTCCGGAGTTGTGAGTGTTAGGCTTAAAAAACTGGGTAAGTGTAGTTTGCCGAGTAGAACGAGTTCTTCGATAACTATAATATGCTTAATTAGCTAACTAGAAACCCATTGGAAGAGTAAGCTAGGAGGATAAGAGAATTTACATTATAAGAGCAGAGTTCAAACCCTGCATGGAGGATACAAGTTGATCAACAGGAGTCGTATTTTTTCCTTTCCCAAAGGTGTTAGGAAAGGATAGTGTGGTTGTCTCAAGGGCCTGCAGAAAGCGGGAAAGTTCACCGGTATAGTGTATAGCGGTTTCTAATCCAATTAAAGGAATTGGAAGAGGCTGTTGTTCATCGTTCTCACTGTCATAATCAATTTTATCTAATTGATTTGCAGGGCAATCAAGTACTCCAGCCTTGATTCCACGCTCAACAATAGCTATCGCATCAGGAACTAGAACAGCTTCCTCCCCTGAGTCAAGGGTACCAACACCTTCATCGGCATCATCAAAGTAGGAGTTGAGTATATCAGGATTCTGAGAGGATTGATGGAGTGTTGTCCAGGCGGCCAAAACACCTTGGCGCTGAGCAGAAATAAACTGATCGGTAAGGTTTTCGTTGGAGTTTGCCGGGGAGGCCATAGAGGTTGTGATATTCGCTTTCGCCCAACAGTTTCTGATTGTTTCCGGAGAAATGGAGTCCCACGCACTAGCTATTAGGTAAATAGCTTGTAGAATATCGATTTTTGGTGGCCTTTCTCCGTGGAGGTTAAAGTGTTGTACCATATATTCAGCGTAAAGTCTCTTGTAAGAAGCTTTAAAGGAGGCAATGATTCCACAATCAAGAGGTTGAAGAAAGGAGGTTGTACAAGGAGGAAGATAGATAAGTTTAATGTTCGTTAAAACCGGTGGTGTTGGTCCACTATATTCGATAGGAGGAGACTCTGGCCGTGGATGAGTTGGACAATTGTCTGTCACTAAGGCGATCTGTCGTTGCGCTATTCTCATTTCTTCATTGAAACGACGAAGAAACTCATACCATAGCCCAGTTAGAAGCCAAGCTTTATTGTTAAACTTATAGATAATGGGAAGATTGTCAGGATTGACACGCTGCTGACGAAAGCATTGAGGCCTCTTAGCTCGTCCTACTACCCAAATCTTTCTCTTATCTGTTCCAGCTTCATTGACAATGTGGAATGTTGTAATTCTGGTTTTGGGATCCTTTCCACCTCTTAGCTGTTTACCTTTTTGAAGGCGAACATTAGATGACTGCGGTTGTTTATTAAAGACAAGTCCACTTTCATCACAATTATACCGATCACAAGAAGCAAAAGGCATAAGCTCCTGTGCTAGGCTCTCACGCTGCTCTGGAAGTGCAGACTGATCCACCTCGCCTGACTGGCCATGGGTCCGTAGTCGTCCAAAATTATGCCGATTCTTAAAGTGCTGTGTCCACCCATTCGACATCTCAAACCCATCATATGGCTCCTCCACCCCGGCATTTTCAAGTCTTGTTTGGATGATCTTTGCTTGTGTACGAATGATTTCATCGGTAACTGGTATACGAGCATCTTCCGCTGCATCCATCCATAGTGCGAGGAAATGCTCGAGGAAAGGGTAGCTTTCAATACGATTCTTTTGCTTCAATGCCACTGGACCTATTAACATACTTGGTTAACAACTTTACAATACCACTTGGATTTTTTCTATATACCTTGAGGGCATCCTTCCTTTATCTTTGCTGCCCATCCCTTCAAGTGGTCAGACAAACTTGATATCGCAAGCGGGGATCCATCAGCCCGGCGAGGGCATTCATCGAGTAGTGCAAATTCAGCGAGCTTCATCTTCGGGTATCGTGACCGCAGACAACAGAGTTCATATTTCTGAATGGCAGTCAATCCAATCTTCTTGCTCGACTTCATTGGAGGCATTTCTCGTACTTTGATATTACCCAAAATATTCGACTCAGGTATCTCCGCAGTTGATACTTCTTATACCACTATTCAATTATACCACACGATGGAGAAAAAACTTGAAAATCCACTAACTATTGACTTCTCCACCTTTATCCCTTTTTAGGAATAGCGCTTCTAAGTTTACCACTGATATCCGGTTCAGCAGGATTGAATTGTATGGGAGCAGGGGTTGCTGGCCTGAAGATATCATACGAATCCGAATATCCTTGTTTTCCGGTTCAGCGGGAACTTTTCTATACAATTTCACAGTGGCGACAGAATTCCTACGGCTCAGCGGGGAATCCGGTTCTGTGAGTTCCGGGACAGCGAGGTGCGACTGTACCGGTAAACAGGCAGTATCCCTACCGCTGATCTTTTGCCCCTCTTCCTGAACCTGCCCAAGCCGGCTCGGCTCAGTTCGCTCAACCGCATTCAAAAGGTTAAAAATAAAAATAAAAATAAAAATGAGGTAAAATAAATAAATAGATAAATAAATGAATAAATAAATAAAAAGTGAGGATAAGAGTTGAGTTGGAGTTAAAAGTTGTTTTTTTTGCCTTGTTTCCACCTCCCTTTGTTATTGCTATTGTTTTTGTTTTTCTTCGCTAACCAGCTAATAGCCAGCTGGATAGACGTGTGGTATCATAGTACTTGTGATATTAAGGTTGGTCCGTACTCAAATACCGTAGCGGACTAATGTGCGGATGGAAAAATTAAACAAGGGAATGGAAGAAAAAAAAACCAAAAAAAACTGAAATCACAATAAAACCCAATCGACTTTTTCTTGAAAAAAAAAAAGGAAAGCCCCCCCAGCCGGGCTGCATCGGGCCTAATTGATCCCCTCCCTAGTTCTCCCGTGTGTTGCCAGTCCCTTCTCACTAGCATTAATGAGAAAGAATTCTAGGGCATTCATCAAAATCCAATAGCGTTGCGGTCATGAAAGTGTAAAAAAGAAACGAACGCCGTTAGTGCAAATGAGAGTAAGAAACGAATAAGAGAAATAAAAATAGATGCAAATCGTCTTCCTTCTCTACGGATTTTCACTGGGCCTCCAGGTCAACATCCGTAGTCGAGGTCCGGGACGGACTACCCTTGCTCCTCCTGTTCCTCTTCTGCAACTTTTTAGACTTTTGTTTGGGTGGGTCTGAGTCGGACGAGAAATCCGCCGGTACTTTGGATTTTGGCGTGGCTGAAGCAGATTGATCCGACCTCCTTGCGGCAGAGGAACCATCCCTATCGTCATTGCCCCCTGACTTGGATAACCACGGACCGTCAAACATTGGCGGCTCGCTCTCATCAGAAGCTGGATCAGATGACGATCTTGTCCGCTCAGGTCTCGTCAGTGAACCAGCCGTGACCGCAGGTGCCGGAAACTGAAGGCCGTCGACCCCTGGTATTGCGGGCGGCATCGCAATATCCAAGGCGTATACTCTATCCGACGCAACCGGGGAATAATACGAGGAAGGAGATTCGGTCACGGGGCTACCCACAATCTGTGAATTCCTAAGCGTATCGCGGCGGCGGGGGAGAAGCTGTCCGACTTCAGCCGCGTGGGACAAACGGTGCTCATGAAGAAGGGAAAGATCCCCTTGCACGCCCTCCGGAAGTGGCTGAGAAACTCGATGCATTGTTGGTAGTATCGGCGCAGAGTAGGCCGAAATTAGGCGTGGCCGCGTGGCTCCTGTCATACCCTCAACACTAGAGTCAGACGCGCGGGATGATCCCTCCGATATCTCATTCTCATCGACCGACGGCAGTGTTGGGGATCCTGGACCCTCCGGGGGGCTGGGGGTCCTGCTATGGGTACGATAGTGCCGTGATCCAGTGCTTCTGTGGTGTTCAAGTGCGGGTGAAACTGTTCTTCCTTCCAGCCTTGCCAAGGTATCTGGTATCGTAGTAGCCCTCGTAGGCGCACCACGAGCCCCATCCAAGTATCCTCCATCGACGCCTTCCGGAAACGACCCCCTACCCAATTTCTCAACCGAGGATACGCGAGTAAGAGGCGGGGTCGGCGTAGCGGTTGAAGCAACTGAAGAAGCGCTTGAACGGATGGACGACGCCCCGGAGTGGCCCTGGTGCACTTGGGACGGCATCGCTAGATAAGGACTGGGCTGGTATACCATTGGTCCTCCTCGTGCCATCTGTTTCATTGGAGGCGGCGTCCCGTAAAAGCCCTGCGATGATCTCGGACTTGGAGGGCATTGTCCGCGTGATTTCATGCTATCAGCGTCGGATGCCACAAGAGTAACTTGGCTCGGGTTGTAGCTGGCCCTGGTTGGTGTAGCGGGCCGCGATATCACAACACCTTCAACTTCAATGCCTGCCTCGATGGCTCTGATGCCAAAGGGAACCTCGTCGGATTTAAGATTAATCACATGGCGACTCTCTCGCATGTTCTCCAAATGCGACCTCCTTGCTTCGGCCCTATTCGCAAACTTCCTTACTCGAAGTTTGGTGTAGACCATCTTGCTAACACCAGCTACCAGCACGCAAACCTAGAGGGAAGAAAAAAACGTCGAATCAGTATCGCCAATAACCAGGACGGCACCACACATGATCGTACCATTCCAATAGCCAATAACTAAGGCAAGAATGTTTGTCAGCTTGTGAGCACACCAATCCTCAGCCTTGGGCGTACATACCAGCAACATCTTCTCCCACAACTCCATAGGATCCCAGAAACTCATCTTGACAACCCTTGATCGCCCTCGGGTAATGGACTAGGAAGAGAAATGAATACCAAAGACCAGGAAACAGGGAATTGGTCCGTCCTCAAGGTTTTCCAGCAAATCCACAGATTTCCGGCACAATTAAGTTTCAGAAAAGGGATTGGCAAACAATTCTCACTGCAACTGGATTTCCGCAGACGCTGTGATAAGCCTCGACAGCCTATAACAGGGCAGAGCTATCGAACAGCGGAAGGGAAGTTGCAGGATATAGGGCTCCTAGGGAACAACTTAGTGTCGGCAGGAAACATGTGCAGAACAAAAAAAGTATAACTATTGAATTGCAACCGCATATAAAGAAGGATGGATGAAGCAAAGCACACATACTCTATTATATTATGCTGTAACAGTAGAATTACAGTTTATTAATCTCGGCTGTAGCGACTGTAGGGAGATGATGATAACGATGGTGATGGGGGCAAATGTCGAACAACGAGTGCAGTGGACGAAGCGATTGATCCACAGTTCGGTAAGAGGGAGAGAGGGGAAGACCGGAAAAGAAAAGAAAAGAAAGAAAAAGAGAGGGAGAGGGAGAGATGGGGGGTTGAAGAGAGATGGGGGGGGAGGGTTAAAGAGAAGAGACAGCGAGGTGGTACAACCCTCTCTACTAGTAGCCGTAGTAGAGTGAACTGAGGAATCAGCAACCAGGCAAGCAACGAAGGGCGCAAGGGACAACGACAGAAACAGGGTTGACGATTTTGAGTGATGAACAGCGTGGGACTTAATAATACGGAAGCGAGACGATTGGTGTCGAAGGCCGGAAGCTACATACCTTATTCGTGTTGCCCGCGCCTCTGACATAGATTTTGGTTAATCTATTGGCCCGACACGGCTGGAGAGTTTGCCCCTCTGTGACACCTGCGACGAGACTCGGTCTCTCACTCACTCACACACTCTCTCTGGGTCCCCCTCCTACTCTCCTGCACTTCCAAAGCCTCCCGGACCTGTCTGTAGCTGTGTTCGGCTCTGCAAGATCCGGGACCTGAAGACCAAGGTAATTGTGTTAATACTAGCTGCGCGATAACTTTATCCAAGGCTGAAGTCTTAGTGGGGTAGCTTGATACGATTCGTGGTCTTCGCCCCGACAATCGAAGGCGCAGAAAGTGTTGGCAGACGGAGCGAGAAACCAAGCGAAGCAGGTAAGCAGGAAGCAAGTGAAATGTGTGATAGCGATGCACGATCAGATCTTGAGTCAAGAAAAGTAAAACCTACCCCAAAGACGAGGATTGGGAAAGAAAAAAAAAAGTAAAAAAAATAGGAAAAAAAGAGAGAAGAGTACGGGAAGTGCTCCGTTGAAGTTTATGTACCGTAGATATTGCATGCTAGGTTATCCATTTCCCAGATTTTGGTACCGGCACCTAGACGAGAACACATAGTCTCAGAAGCTGGAGGGGTGAAGTATTGACTCAGGACCTCCTATAGCAGAACGGTATCGAGTGATAATCACCGGAAATCAATGTCACATCAGAAGAACCCTTACACCATAGCCGTGCATTGGAACATCAAACCCAACCCAGATATTTCCCCGTCTCACCCCCCCCCCCCCCCGCGCGCCCCTGCTGCCCCGGAGAACTGAGAAGAAAAAAAGTAATCAAAACCCTGCTGGAATTTGATGTACTCGTACTAGTACTGGTACCGCACTGTACCTTTCGGCTTCCATGGCACCCATACCAACTACCGGGGGAATTGACAACAAAGAGCATTCTTGTTCTAGGTATGACACCTACTCTATATTGGATGGGTCAGGGTCAGTTAGTTTGAATAAGCACTCGTAACGCATGCATCACACATCTTGCGGTACCATAAGCAGCACGACACAGGACCCGCACCAGTACACTACCCGGCCCGAACTGATGAAGCCACCCAACACTGCCCAGCCCAAGGACAAGGCTATATACCCGAGTACTGTACTTGTAGAGCGGATACAAGGGGAGAGGGGGGGATGGAGGGGGGGGGGGATGAGGGCCTCCGGGGGTTCAGATGAACGAAAGGAAGCAAGTGCTTCCAAAGACCAGCATGAAAACAATTGTTCTTTGCATGCTCTCTGTACCACGGGACAAGGGGAAGGGAAGCCTGAAGGAAACGAGTACGGTACCCAGCCCGAGGGAACGTGTATCCTCACTGGCAAGCTACTCCGCCGGTATCGGAACAAGTACTCAAGAACAAGGTGTGAACTAGGGACCACAGCTGGGATCATGCCGTTATCCGTAAGGGGATAGAAATCATCCGGAATGGAAAGACAGGGGAGAAACATGGGGTTGGGGGGGGGGGTTTTTCAGAGTAAAAAATAATCTAAAAAATAATTTATAATACACGCATGAAGTGCAGCTATGCAGTGTGCAGTGCAAGTACGAGTACCAAATCGCACGAAAGGAATATTTGGGGCTCTTTATTTTAAAAAACCCGAGCTAAGCTACAAACGGATAATTAATTAAGGGAGCAGAGCTGGCAGGGAATAAGAGGTACAAGTAACAGGGGAAGAGGAGTAAACGGTCCAATGGTGGATCATTCCAGTATTCGTGCTCCTCGCTGGCCATGCGGATCGGCAACCCCCCCCCGATCACAAGAAGGTTAATTCTGCACGAAAAGGGGAGCTTTTCTCTGGCTTATTGCGGGTGGGTGAGTGAGTCTGATGTGGTAGCGGGGAACGACCTTATGGCACAGCACGAGTACTGTAGCAAAGATTCCTGTGCAACATCAAAGGAGTCTTCCAAATTGGGATCAGGTACTACCGGTAGCGGTACAGTACAGCACGACACAGGGCGGTTCTGCCCTCTATCGGTGCGAGTCCTAACAAGCGAGTGGCTAAACAAAGGGATTCTTGCTCAATGAATGGTAAGCACGGTAATAGCAACACACCGTAAGCGTTCTGAGGTCCGGCCTTCTCCCCTTCACGAGCAGCAATCTCCCTGTGTTTGAAGCTACTAGAGGAAATTTTTGCCCCGTTTCATCCGTAATGTCCGGTCTGTACCGATGGCAGTTATGTGAGTGTTTACAATCATGTCATCATCCTGCACCAGCCTCCGAAGTGGTGCGGGAGGGGACTTCCACTCACAAAGCTTTCTCTCTCGGGTTGAAATCTCAGCTTCTACAAATAGTATGATAGCGCCTCATCCTTTTGAAAATTCGGGGTTGGACAATAGGGTAGTCATGAGTGCCTGAAGACCCAAGGAAGGGTTTGGAGGATAAGTCCCGATCAGAGAGGGCAAGCCCGCGGAATCTTATTGCACCACAAAGTGCTCGTACAGTACCAGTGAGTGAGGGGTGTAAGACTGGAAGAATCGGAACGGGGGGGGGAAAAAAAAAGTAGAAAATTACAGGGTATGATATCGTAAAATATTTCCCTGATTTCTAAAAAAATGGCCAATAAGAAAAACCCGCAATTTTTTCCCTCTTTCTGTGCAGGTACTGTACTCGTACTGTGCGAGTACAGTACCGGTACAGTGCTCCCGGGGCAGGGTGGAAGTCGTGCTCTGTGGCGATCTTTGTCATCTGGCAGCCAACCAACGAGCAAAGACGGTCTATTGAGTATCCCTTTTTACGTGATTGGCCCGGCGGCCAATCTCTGTTCCTGGGTGTGCTCGGCCGTTCGAGCATTTTAGAGTACCGGTACCGGTATCTGGATGCTCAGCTACCTGGATGGCTGTACGAGCATTGAATCCATGATGGTGCGTCTGGTGCAATTGGGCGTTCATCAGCGGCGGACAAGGCAAGAATCGCCCTTGAGAGCTTGGCCGTGCCTGGCCAAGCCCATCCCCGGCCAACAGGAGCTCAGGACAGTGTGATACTTGTACTGTAGAGGAGGGGCCATCCATCTCTTCCACCTCTACAAATAGGATACCGGTAGCTGCCACAGCCAAGCAATCGACTCCCTTCCCACCCAAAACCTTTTTTTAACGAACACACTTTTGCTTGCTTTGATCCGAGTGGTTCCAGCCTCCAAGACACGGCCGTTGCTTGGAAGACCGGATACAAATGACGAAATGCTCTTGCTCTCCTCCTGCGGTACGAGTGCCAGAGCCACAGGGATGTTTTCCTTGTTTTTTTTTTTTTCCTTTCCTCCCCTTCCTCGGCTTCGATTCATCGCCCGGTTGCACCCAGACCATAGCACGGGCTGTGCTTACAGTTCGCTTGAACTCGCTTCAACACTTCTCTAGGAAACAATAGTCTACCAGCTGCGGGTAACCGAATCTAAGGATTCTAAGAGTTCTGAAATATTTGATGCCACAAGGCAGCATTTCAGCTCGGTAGCGTAACAGAGACCCTATCCATCTTGCCCGTTCTGACTGTGTAATTCCCTCGCTTCTCTCATCATCCTCCTCTCCGCCATGTATCTTTTTTCCTTTTTTTCCCTTCCAATGATTCCTTTTTCCTTCCCTATAATAGCACAAGCACGGTACCCCACAACTCTGTGGGGTTTCCGCCAGTTCACGATGTTGGAGTGCACATATGGCGATGATGTGCTGCTTTTCTTCCTTTTTGCGCCCTTTTTGGCGAGTCCCCCCAGCCGTGTCTGGCATGACGGGGAACAGGTTGGTAGGGAATGGGGACACCTCAATGGCCATGTCGCAGACACGCGTGTGTTGTATTCGACATGAGCACGTCGCGAACCCAGCACGATGGGCGACATTTTGTGCTCGTAACTGCTCGGTGCCTGGCGGTGGCGTTCAATTGAGGCTGCATGCAACTGCTCGCCCGAGGGATCCAACGGAAGGATGAAAAGTAAACATTTCGATGCTGAGTTGTACTTTGTAATTCCTTTTTCCGGGAATCCCAGCCCATCCATCATTCATCCATTCGCCCATCGGTTGGAGGTGAAATGGGCAGCCATCTTATCGCTGAGGGGTCAGCCCCAGTGGGCACATTGCGATAAAGCCTGTCCCGGAGGGACCTCACTACCGCATTCGGAGGGGAGGAGGGAGGGAGGGAGGCTGGGGAGTGTGTTATCGGTATCTGGGGATACTCGAGTACCGGTACTGGTCTGTGTGTGTACGAGTACTGTACGAGTACAAGTACGTGGGGTGTCGACTTCCTATGTCCCGGATGGGGTCGTTGCGTATCGTAGCGAAGGTATCATGTCATATCATACCAGAACTCTACGCCTGGAGATATGGTGGGCAGGGTTTTCGGGTCCCGGGGCGCCTCCGTCAAGCTGCTATGATACGCCATGCCATGGTGAGTGCTACGGTGAATCAAGCATCGGAGGGTAGTCCTACAGTACTCGAGTACCGGTACCGTGCGGTACTGTCACTCGTGAACACTACCTGTACCGGTAAACGAAACGAGGCTTAAACTTTATAAAGCTTTTTCTCCTATAGGTGCTGGATCGCGCTCAGTGCTGGTACCACCGGTACTCGTGCCTAGAGTAGTCTATTAGAGCCACGGGGTACAGCTACCGCTATCAGAAGGCTGCTTATTGGAAGGCCTTGGCACCACCGAGACTGAGAGTGGTGAGCTGAGTGGCACCGTGGTACAGTACCGTAACCGGGCAGTTGCATTGTGAGGAGGAAAAGGAAAGAAAAAAAAAAAAACAAGAGGAAGAGAAAGAGCCTGGCGATTCGGGTGCACGAGTTTCCGTCTCTCCGCATACAATCCATGTAAATTCGTGGCTACACTCATCCTGGCTGTCATCCACCGGCGATGCCTCTCTACCTCTCACCTGAATACGGTACATACTTACATACGAGTTACAATTTGGAGCTTGGAGTGATACCCTCGTGATCGCGATTCAGATTTTGAAGACTGGGAGAGGAAAGTTACAGAGGAAAGGAAGAGGAAAAGGAAAAAAGAAAGAAAGAAAGAAGAAAAAACGGCCACGTCCTCATCTAGCCCATCTCTCGCGCTCACTGTACGGTACCTGCCATCTTTCCCTCGCTCAGCTCCGCTGCTCGGTATGCCAGTTATTCGGAACCCCTTTCGCAGAAACGCGACGGCTCCGGCCAATAGTCTGTTTGGCTCTTTCTCCGAGCAGCAGTCTACCGCCCACCCGGCCACCGGGAAGCTCCCTCTCTCCGAAGCCGACTTGAGCACCGATGAGGTGGGAAGGGCTCACGGTGCGAGAGCAAAGTCCGTCAGTTCCCTCAGCATTGGGAGAGGGAGCCAGGACGAAGAGAACGCCTACAAGTTGAGCGGTGCGTTATCTCCCTCCCCCTCGGCACTGTGTGCTTTATGCACGGGCGTATACCGCGCAAACCTATTATATCTCATTATTTTCGCTTCTTTATTCCTTTTCTCCCAGCCTCCGATTCCTTTTGTGTCGGTTGTGCCTGCAGCTTGCAGTAGACAGTAGGGTACATGTTGTGGGGTGCGGGATTGTACTTCTGAGCCCACAAGTCAAAGGGGTCGGACAGACAGTTGGCTGATTTGTTTTTGTTGGTGATAATAGTTGTCAATGATAGTGGGGTCTATTTGCCTGTAGGGACAATCCCCCCCCCTCTTTCCAATTCCCCCACATTCCGTGCGTATCATAGTGGGGTCGCTCTTGTGGTCGCGCATTGAATACCGGAGAACTAATTTACCCTTTTTTTGTAGCCCTCACCTCCGGACAAGAAGGGTTTCTGGAGGAAAAATGATCACTCCCCTCAAATAAAGGCTCCCGATGTCGAGGAACCGTTTGTTATATCGAGAGAGTCATTTGAAAGTTACAGAAGATCATTTGTTGGTTGCCCCCCCATCTCAACACAACCGTTTTGCGCTTCCCCACAGTTTCGCTCATGATTTCCTTTCCCACGGTGACAGCTGCGCGGTGTCGCATCGAGGGAATCCTTTTTTTTATTTATTACTGATAGGAGATCTTTGTCTAGGACATCTCTGCAAGATCTCCCGTGTTAGATCCACCCCCAGGCCGTGTCAGCTTCGACTCGCGCCCTCTTGCCCCGCGCACAAGTCTCGATGTCCGCTCTCCAAGATTGCCAATCGTTGCCAAGAACGTTGAGCCCGTCGAGGAGGACAAGTTCGAAGATATCAAGCTCAACGATGATGCACGACCCAAGAAAAGGAGTATATTCTCTAGATTTGGCGCCGATCACTCATCACCTGATGCGGTGCCAGCCTCCACGTCTCATGGGGTTAGGAACGGCTTGTTTGGAAAGAAGGAAGTTCCTCAGGAAACCGTCATTGAGAGCGAGCTCAAGAAGATCGATGTCAGAAAGGATGACAAGTGACGGAAATTGCTATGGAGTTCGGCGGTATTGTGGCAGGTGGACGGTGTTCTAGGTTTTGGCTGGGGATTGTTTTGCGGCTGATGACATTACGCACCATGGGGAACGCAGGCTCATTGCTGGGATTTAATGTTTTGGATGATTGTAGGGATATTGGTGTCTCCTTGTCCGTATTGATACCTTTTTGTTCCTCTGTCCTCTGTGGCAGGCCTAAATCTCTTGTATTTTTTTTTTCTTATATGCACCTTCTGAATTGGCTTTGGAAAGGAGTCCATAGACTTTGTGTATGCTGGGGACGAAAGGACAGGGTCAATGTTTAATGAAATTTATCGATGATAGCAGGGGCTCTCGCACACCATGCTATCTGAAGCGGGAACACCGGCTAATGCCAGTGTTCCGATATTTGCCTTTATAAAACAGTATTTTGCTCATTGCTACTTGCACTCGCGAGGAGAAATTGCCGTGCCCATATACCGGTAATATTGAAACGCTGCGTAAATCTTGGTGGCTAGGGAGGGTAACTTTGTCGTAGCTCCGAGTACAGAAAGTGTCACGTGGTAAGCCAGAACGAGCCCCGAACCCTTCACAGCCACCAGGCCTCCTTTTCTGGCATCAACATTCTGGCTTCAACCTTCCCATCGCCCTATCACGACACTTCATCTCTATCCCCACCTCGGCGATCATTTTCAACGCATCTCAACACCTCCCACCCTACACAAGCTCTCGCTCACCAAAGCTTCTGTCACGCATCGCGTCAAAAGTGCACCCTCTTCTCCGCTTACCGCCGTTTCTAGCAGGATCGAAAACACCTCCAAACAAATAACCAAAAATAGGCGACGATATATAAAATGACTGATTATATGGAGACTGGCCACGTCACTGATGATCTCAAGCCTGAGTTTGCGGAATACGAGAAGGCTAACCGTGCTGCTATCGAGGACCCCGATGACTTTGAAGCCTGGGAAAAGCTTGTGCGCACCACCGAACAGCTGGAGGGAGGTTTGACTCGCAACAGTTCGCCTCAGGCTATTGCTGCCACCAGAGGAGTTTTCGATCGCTTTTTGGCGAGGTTCCCACTGCTCTTTGGGTACTGGAAGAAATATGCCGATCTGGAGTTTAGTATTGCGGGGACCGAGGCGGCCGAGATGGTATGTTGTTTCTTTGCTTTTCCGCTCAGTGCTGCGGACTATGCTTTCCATACACGGATCAAATAGGGGGGGGGAGGCTGATGCTTGAGGGGTTTATTTGTAGGTATATGAGCGTGGAGTCGCCAGCATTACCAACTCTGTCGATCTATGGACAAACTATTGCAATTTCAAAGTCGAGACTAGCCATGATCCCGATGTTATCCGAGAGTAAGTCCTCGATGATTAAAAACGATCTCCACCACAGGGGGGATTAATAGGATTTGCTATTTCCCCTTATTGCCCCTGTTCACCGCCCCCCCCTCTTTCCCTCTTTCCATTCTTGCACACCGATATGCCCGGTTGCGAACAAAGTCAGAGTCAATTGGTGAGCTGTTGCAACCCAGCTATATTCTCTCGATTTGAGATCTCACATAATCTCAGAATCACGTTTCATGCCCCTTACCTTGCCTTTGCGTACCGAAATATATAGCTCGAAGCGATGATTTGGTGGATATTAAAGAACTAATATTTTCCCGTATTTACTCATCTCTTGTTTTTGACAAAGTTTCACTCTACACCCACTGCAAAGTCGTTTACTGATCCTTACTTTGCAGGCTGTTTGAACGTGGCGCGAATTCGGTCGGCTTGGACTTTCTTGCTCATCCCTTTTGGGACAAGTACATTGAATTCGAAGAACGATTGGAATGCGAGGACAAAATAGTTGCCATTCTGGACCGTGTCATCCATATTCCTATGCACCAGTATGCTCGCTATTTCGAACGTTTCCGCCAGCTAGCCCAGACCCGTCCCCTCGAGGAGTTGCTACCCTCAGACACCCTGGCCCAGTTTAGGCAGGAGGTAATGGCAGAACCCCCCGCCGCTGTTCAGGCCGGCCAACAGCAAATTAAGATGGAACGTGGGGAATTGGAAATTGAGAGGGAGATGAGGGTTAGGATTGATAATTTCCACTTGGAAATATTTTCCCGAACACAGACGGAGACAACCAAGAGGTGGACCTACGAATCCGAAATCAAACGCCCGTACTTCCATGTCAATGAACTGGATGAGCCCCAATTGGTTAATTGGCGGAAATATCTGGATTTTGAAGAGGTGGAGGGTGATTTCACGAGAACGCAATTTCTCTACGAGCGTTGCCTTGTTACCGCCGCATTCTATGATGAATTCTGGTATCGTTATGCAAGATGGATGTCCGCCCAGGATGGGAAAGAGGAAGAGATCAGAAACATTTACCAGAGGGCTAGCATGGCTTTCGTACCCATTACGTATGTATTGCCTGTACTTGTATCATCTTGCTCGCATTGTGCTACTGTGCTGACCTCTCCCAGCCGGCCGGGTATTCGAATCCAATACGCCCATTTCGAGGAATCCCAAGGCAGAGTCGACATGGCAAGAGCAGTCTTGGAATCCATCCTTGAACAGCGTAAGAACTAGCCCCTTTTCCTACTTGGGTATGACTAACCATCTCTAGTACCCGGACACATTGAGACAATTGTAGCCTGGGCGAACCTCGAGCGCAGACAGGGCGGACTTGATGCTGCAATTGCTATCTACCGAGCCCAGATTGAAAGCAACAAATGTGACATCTACGCAAAGGGCGCTCTCACTGCAGAATGGGCCCGTCTTCTGTGGAAAATCAAGGGTAGTGTTGATGAGGCGCGCCAAGTTTACCAGAAAAATCATCATTGGTACCTTGATAGCAGGTATTTCTGGATCAACTACTTACAGTTTGAGATGGAGCAGCCAACGAGTGCCGAGGCAGAGCAGCAGAATCACGATAGGATCCGCCAAGTAGTTGATGATATCCGCAAGAAGAGTCATCTTCCGCCAATCACCATCAAGGATTTAACGCACTTCTACATGGTATATCTGTTGGAGCGCGGCGGTAAGGATGCTGCTAAGGAATACATGGTATTAGATCGTGAGGTCAATGGGCAAGTCAAATAATTTCTCCCTTCTTAAACCCCTCCCTTGTCCCCCCCCCTCCTCTCCCCCTTCACCCAGCGCCTCACAGGACAGGTTTTATGACTTCAATTCGTCACTTCATCCGCGACGAAGCCTAATGGGCTTGCCCCATCGGGCACCGAATTAACTTCTAACTGAACAAATCATCCCTCTCCTCCCCTTCCCCCCGTGTCGGTTTGATATGCCCTTCTGACCTAGCAATCCCCTGTAAACCTTATCCCATTTGTTGTGTTATAATTCCTTTCCCAGCTAGCTTGCGTTATTTCTTCCCATGTATCCCTTTACACTAGTATGCTCACCTACTCATTTCTCCTTCCTTCCTATCCACCCTCATATGTTTTCTTTGCTAATGTTGTCGCTTTCCGTAGACCTTTTTCCGTTCAATCCGTGAATAAATCGAAGTTAGCCGAGGACGGTAAAGAGTCCACGACTGACCGTCGTCTCATGATGGAGAATGGCCACCCCGGTGTTGAAATTGATGAGGCTGCCATCCGTAGGGGTGAAAATCCTTATACCAAGTACTTCCAACAACAGGGGGAACAGCCACAGACTACTCCAGCACAGGTATGGTTTTCCCCAGAAAAAATTTGAGTTCTCTTGAGCCATGCTAAAGGCCTGTGTTTGTTATTTTCTAGGTAGATCTAACATTCAGAGGATAGCCCTATTAGTCTGCAAAGCCAGAAAACAGAAATTCGCCGTGATTTTCCCTTTTTCCCCTTTTTCCCTTTTTAGTTTTCTTGATCGTCCCCATCTCACGCTTGGGGACAAACTTAATGACCAAAACCCAAAAATCTTTCACCTTTTCCACAAGCCTCTCCGCCACGACAATTTGCTCTTTGTATCCCTAGTCTTTTGTCTGTAGTTATACTTTGTCCAGGCTCTCTTCCTTGTTTTTTTTTTTTACACTCTCCACTTAGTCAGGAGTCGGTTACGTTTGCACAGACGGGATCCCCGCAGGGTGGTGGAAGTTATATTCTAGTCTGTCTGGTCTACTCGCTTGACATAGCTTAGTCTAGTTATATTATATATTTTCCTTCTCTCCCTGCACCCTTGCTTTTCCTATTCTCGGTCCAAATGAATGAATGAATGAAAGCATCTGATCCAGGTTCATGGTCTGTCACTCTTGTCTTGGCGGTGTGAAGCGATATTGTGTTGTGTGAGTACGGTACCCATACTGTGCATGAAAACCAAACTGCCGTTCCGCGCTTACACCTGCCAGTACCAGGGTCAATTGTGAATCCTCCCAACTGATAGTTGAGAGTCGAGACCAAGCGATTCGAAACAAAACCCAACGGTGTGAGGTTATCCCGCTACCGGTAATCTACTGGCTGGACGGATCGCGAATAGAGTCTCGTGACCACCGCACTATGATACCAATGCAAACAAAACCCAGGACGAAAAGAATCCCTACCTGCCCGCCCCGTCGCGGACAGGGTGCCCATCCGTCCGGTGACCGGCAAGGTATGATACCGTATACACCCGTCGTTAGCTTTTGCTGCCTAGGACTCGATACATGCACGCTGGCCACGGCAGCCCATACACAGTGCACGCCCAAACCCGGAAAACATCCACAAGCAAGGAGTCACAGAAGCCCACTTGTGCGATACGATACGAGTGCTATGATGCTGGGATACTCGTACACTACATTGCAGACGACCATCCACCGGCACCACCGAACTTGTGACTGACACTAGCACACGTCCGACTGCCAAAACACATTGATCATGTCGACGCACCTTCGTACGAGCACATGCTCACTACACGTGGCTCGTGCTGTATACTACTAACATTATTACTACTGCGCTGGGTTGTCTTTGTCGGTTTGCCTTTCCGGGCGGGAGTAGAGCTTTGCCCTCACTTCTCTTTCTCTCGAGCACTCGCTCTGTTCAGTGCTCTAGGACGGTGATTTGTGGTTGCTTGGAGTGTTGCAAAAGTTTGGCGTTGATACCATACGAGGCGAGTAGAGGACTAGTGTAGCGTCATTATCAAACTTTTTTAATTTTAATTTTTAATTTCATTGTAGAAAAAAATGCCCCAGACTAATTTTTGATTTCCCATTTCTTATTTTATATATACATTTAGCGGGGGTAAAAACAATTCATTTATTATCTAGTTATAATCATACCCATGCTCGTATGATACCATAATAGCAATATGCTAATATATCCTCGCGTATAACGTCCCGGTTAGGAAATCCGTTCCACTTCCTGCCAATCGGGGTAACGGATGATGCGGGGTGTGTGTTGATACTTGTATTGTATTGTAATATCATGCCGCCCAGGTATGTATGATATTACACAGTGGGTAGGGAAGGTATGGAAGGATGGAAGGAATGCGGTACCGTACGGTACTGCACTCTAATCTTAAAAAGAGAAATAAATGAAATAAGGGTCATCGGTTGTCGGGTGTGGCGGGATGGATGGATTTTTCGACCTCGAGCTTGTTGAGGGGTACCGGCACTGTACCGGCACGGTAGGCGCAGTGGTTACTTGGAAAAAAAAATAAAAGCATTTTTTGTTTATTGTCCCCCCCCCCACCCCCCCTCTGTTGATGGAGGGAAATGTGGCACAGTATTGCGCTATTGGTTCTTTGCATCGTATCATACCGTATGATACTAGGAGCAGGAACTCGAGAGCTAGAGGCTGCTGGTGAGAGTTAATATTCCTTTCTTGGGGGTTTTCTCCAGCATTTACTCATACTCGTATCCTAGCATGTATGATATGCTCGTGAGGAATTCCGCTTCATTGAGTGGCTGTGGATGGATATGGTATGATAAATTACGATGGTACGATATAGGTTAGGAAGGCTGGATTTGGCCATGATGCTTGGGGCGCAATGAGAACTAGGTAGGTGGTGTTGATATAATAGGTTGACGACAAGGCTCAGCCACCAGGCTCTTTAGTCCCTCCTGGCCGAGGTGTGAAAGGGCATCAAGTGCAGTAAAAATATACCCACTTCCACTGCACTTTCATGCCTCCATCAGAATATGATTTTATAGCCATTGTTCTCCTCAAGCGCGATTCTTCTAACAGGAACGGTTTCGAGAAAGCTAAGAATTGCCCGCCCCATGACCTCTTGAAAGGATAGAGTTTAAGAAACTCAACAAGCATTGCAGGGGACCTGGTGGGCTGCTGATAGGAGTGGCAACCCCTGGCGACATTGTTGATAGCTCCCACCCAGGTCCGGCAGCGCAAACTCTATATTTACACATACTCGTACCTACCTGCCTTGAAGGCAGGATGAGATGACATGCGTGGGTACGAGGGAGGGCTCGTGTTACTTTTTGTCAGCTCTGCCTTGGGGAATGGAGGGATGGAAGGGAACCCCGCGCATAGGAGTCAAAAGATTTGTAAGATATGCGGAGGAAACGTTCCATCCCGGAAGAAACTTGCTGTATCAATTTACCGTATCGAGAGATGGACTATTGAAGATTATCGGACGCTGTGTTCATACATAATTGGCGAATCCGGTCCGAGCTGCATCGGAATGACGTCCTGCATCGCTGATCCCCATCATGCCAGGTAACTCTGATGCTCTTGGGGAGTGGGCAAGGTCTACGCTGACTCCCCCGCCTCACTCGCAGCCTCGTGTGCGGTGGGATAAACATATCAGTCAGATCATCAAGGCCTGGAACTCTGGAGACATCGCTGTAGCCTATCATACTCTTTCTTACTCTTCAAAATTTTGCCAATTGCCGCTGGGCGAAAAGGTTCACATGTCTCCGCTCCATGATATTATATCATACCTCCGGGTCTTGGCTACCGCATGTCCGCATGAGGGCAGGACAGGACAGGGGATAAGGGATCTGACTTTTTTTTTCCCCCCTCTTTCTTCCCGGGCCATGTCCTGTGTCCTGTGTCCACCCTCCTATCCCCTTCGGCTGCTTGTTTTGTTTCATTTCATTTTGTTTTTTGTCTTTTTTAGCCCCCCCTCCCCCTCGGAGAATTAATTTTTTTCCACAAGGTAAACCCGATTCGGAACATTGAGAAAACCAGGTTTTCCGGGACCATGGGGTTTATCATTATGCCATAATCCCGGTGTTTTATGTTGTGCTCTTCCTGGAATTGAGGAGACATGGGGGGGGAAAAGGAATGAAGGAAGATGGACAGGATGGACTAGAGTAGAATTCGTGTGGCTTCCTCGTTGGGGCGGACATCTCGAAGGTTATCGATATTTGACGCAGCATCCATAGAAAAAACTCCGGTAAGAGAACAAAGTGCTACTGAATCTTGTGGGAGTTACCCCCTCTGGTGACTAAGTTCAGGTGTTTTTTTTTTTTTCAAGTGCCTCCCGCCTCTCTTTCCAAAGTAGGGAATTCTGGACTACACATCACACGGTCCGGCCGTTTGAGTTTTTTTGTTTCTTTCTTTTACGGTGGTCCAGAGGATGAGGAGGCTGTGCGATGAGGTATCATACCACGGTGAGTTCCATGATACCTCTTCCTCGGGACGAACCTGGGCAAAAAATCGGATAATATCACTCCACGCTCGATTCCCGGATATCCACGTGATTCTGGGAATACCTTCCGGTCTCGTGCGGTATATTACTTACTATGTGCCCGCCTGTCAAAAGCGTGATAGACATAAAGCAATACTGTACCTACCGTACAGTACAGTACAGTACCCACCCACGGACCAGCTCTGCCCCCACCTCCACAAAGTGACGAAAATACCGTAGCAGGGCTGGTCAAGAGTGACAATGAACGAGCCACAAGTTGACCTTCCCATCCAATCTTCCCGTCGCCCATTCCCCCCTGTACTCGTACTGTACCGGTATTCCATCCCACATTTATCCCCGGTCAGTGGGGGCGCACTCACTCACCCTTAATACCATGCCATCCGTGTAGTTCCGGCTACCCCCACCTGCTAATTACAACATCGATTTCCACGGGTATGGTACGGTTGAGACCATGTAACAGAAACATCCATCGCGAGCCACTACCGTATCTTGGAAGAAAGAAAAAAGCCCCAGCTAGAATCCAAAACCGGCAGGTACACCTAACCTTCCGCTTCCATTGTACCGTACTCGTGCCTACTTGTACAATCCCCTCCCAGATTATTATTATGGGTCCTCAGTCCGTCCCCGAATGGACCCGCTCCGCCCTTCGCTTCATGACCTGGGAGTGTATAGAGTAAGTTACTACATTGTGTGGTGCGGCACCTTAGAACTTAAGTTACCCCCGCGCCACCTCACAATCAAGGGATATCTCAATCTGGGGTAACATCACCTGTGAATAGATGCTTTTTAAAAAATCCCTTTAGCATAATCCCTCTAATTGATTATCAGAACATATTTACAGAGTGGTTTTACTTTTGGTCTTCTGGCAGGTAAGGAGGAGCGCGAGGGTTTTATGGGGGGGGAGCTATTGCTGAATAGCTAGCTAAGAGATTTTCTAATTAGATATGGTCGACTACTGTACTAGGACTAGCTCTCTTGACCCGATGTGAGACTCAGGGTGCTTGTAATTTAGAATACTCGAGTACCGGTAGTCTACTCGTACTCGTGCTTTTCAGCCAATATTGGGCACCCCTTTTGTCCTAGTTCATGGCACTAGTTCTTTTTCGCCGAAGCGGGTATGGTTTATTAGTAGTGTGGAACGAGGGTAGAGGCCTAAGTTAACCATTGGGGGAACAGCCGCCGAATCGGGTCGCCACAAATTTACTGAAGTTTATTTGTGCCGTGCCGTATCCAGATAGTGGCATAACTTACTCTGTTTTCCTCGGAAGAGCTAGGCCCTCATACTCGCTACACAGTCGATTCAAGGGTGCCAGGCGGCCGGTACTACACATTTGGTTGAATAGTCCCTGCTAAAACCTCCAGACCCTATCGATCCATTTATGATAGCTTGGTGTTGTGATGCTAAGAGTTTCCTTTGTAATTTCCCACTCCCGGGGTATTATACGATAAACGGAAAGCCTATGATGGTAGACGAGCAATAAGGAATCGCGCGCTGGTACCGCGTGGGGTGGGTATTGTGCTTGTACTAGTACCGTGTGCGGGTAAGATAGGGAAGGGGATCACGCCGTGACACGAGTGGTTTATTAGGATAGGATTGTGTTTTGTTTCATGTAAATCGTCTCTCCACTTATTTGAAGAAGAAATAAATAAGCACCAATATAATATCATCAAACGCTATCGCTAGTGACTGAAATGTATCTGT